ACTGCCTCCAAAAGACCCCTTTGCAATATGTGATGGAGGGGTGACTGGACTTGAGGTGGGCACAGGGCCATCCCTAGCAATTCTGGGGCCCTCCGCAGGATGTGTGTGTGGGGCCCAAGGCCTCCGTGTGGGGGTGGCTTGGAGGGCAGAGGGGGACCACCCCCCAGCACTCACCGGGGGCCTGACTGGGGCTGGGTCACTGCACTTCCTGCTGCCAGTGAGTGCAGGCCCAGCCCTGCTACACTCCTCAGGAGTGGGGGTGGGTCTGGGGCAGAGCAGGGGTGGAAAGAGGCGGGACAGGAAGAGCTGGAGCAGCACGCAGCTGTGCAGGGCATCAGGTGCCCTACACAGCTGCGTACTTTGCGTATGGGTAAGGACGGCCCTCGGTGGGCAAGACCTCAAATGCAAGGCAACATCATATAGTGCTTCAGGGATTCTTGTCAGAGTTTCAGCCCATTGGATAGCCCTCAGAGGTTGCTATAATTTAGACAGAGCTGTCTAAATTTACGCCAGTGCCCTCTCCAGCCCCCGTAGCTGCCCAGGATCAGGAAAGCGCAAAGGTAGTTTAAAATATCTTAGGTTTCAGAGTAGCAGCTGTGGTAGTCTGTATTCGCAAAAAGAAAAGGAGTACTTGTGGCACCTTAGAGACTAACCAATTTATTTGAGCATAAGCTTTCGTGAGCTACAGCTCACTTCATCGGATGAATACTGTGGAAAGTGTAAAAGATCTTTTTATACACACAAAGCATGAAAAAATACCTCCTCCCACCCCACTGTCCTGCTGGTAATAGCTTATCTAAAATATCTTAGTCCCCATTCCTCTCCTGTGCGGTTGTGAATTCTGTGTACCTTAGCAGCACAGGAGAGGATCTCAACCAAAACATGAAGAAGAGCTCTGTATAGCTTGGATGCTTGTCTCTGTCACCAACAGAAGTTGATCAACTGAAAGATATTACCTCACCCACCTTGTTCTAGTCCTGGTCTACGCTACGAGTTTGGGTCGGATTTAGCAGTGTTAGATCAGTTTAGCCCTGCACCCGTCCACACTACGAAGCCATTTTTTCTGACTTTAAGGGTTCTTAAAACTGGTTTCTGTACTCCTCCCCAACTGAAAACGTCTGTTAACGTGTCTGGGGATGGAGCAGAAATCCTCCAGGGACATCTCCATAAAGTTCTCCTGGATGTACTCCTGAAGCCTTTGCAAGAGGTTTCTGGGGAGGGCAGCCTTATTCCGTCCTCCGTGGTAGGACACTTTACGTGCTGCTGGCCTGCTGTGGTAGTCTGGAATCATTGCATAACAAAGCATGGCAGCATATGGTCCTGGTGTTTACTGGCATTCAAGCAACATCCATTCTTTATCTCTCTGTGTTATCCTCAGGAGAGTGATATCATTCATGGTCATCTGGTTGAAATAGGGAAATTTTTATTAAGGGGACATTCAGAGGTGGCCGTTCCTGCTGGGCTGTTTGCCTGTGGCTGAACAGAAATCACCCCCACTTTTAGTCATGCGGTGTGGGGAGGGGTAAAGTGATCATCCCAGAGAATTGGGTGTCTGTGTGTGTGTGTGGGGGGGGGGGGGGAGTTAGTTGGGTTTGTGCTGCGCGTTAACCCGAAAACCGCAGCCCCTCCCTTTAAATGGCCAACCCATTTTAAAGGGCCAACCCTATGGGTGCTTGGTATGTGAAATGAGGGTGGTCTGTATTTTCTGGTCTGGAAAGTAAGTCCCTTGCTGCAGCAGTTCCCACAGACCAGAGTTCCTAAAGAAGTGAGTGTCATGTACCTTTCGTAGCCATCCCATGTTTATGTTGGTGAAACGTCCCTTGTGATCCACCAGTGCTTGCAGCACTATTGAAAAGTACCCCTTTCGGTTTATGTACTGGCTGCCTTGGTGGTCTGGTCCCAAGATAGGGATATGCGTTCTGTCTATCGCCCCACCACAGTTAGGGAATCCCATTGCACATTTCCCAGAGTCACTACCCTTGATAGCAGCAGCTCAATGATCGCGTTGGCTACTTGCATCACAGCAGCCCCACAGTATATCTGCCCACTCCAAATTGATTCCCAACTGACCGATAGCTGTCTGGCGTTGCAAGCTTCCAGAGGGCTATCACCACTCGCTTGTGAACTGTGAGGGCTGCTCTCATCTTGATATTCTGGTGCTTCAGGGCAGGGGAAAGCAAGTCACAAAGTTCCATGAAAGTGCCCTTACGCATATGAAAGTAAGATCCACAACACTATTTGGTCCCACCAGTCTGTGCTTGTTTCCCAGGCCCAGAATCGGCGTTCCACGGCATGAGCCTGCTCCACTGCCACCAGGATGGCCAAATTGCCGGGGCCCGTACTTTGAGAGAAGACTGTGTCCATGTCCTCATCACTCTCCTCACCGCGCTGCTGTCGCCTCCTCACCTACTTTTGCTGGTTCTGGTTCCGCATATACCGCATGATAATGCGTGTGGTGTTTAGCGTGGTCACAACTGCTGCAGTGATCTGAGCGGACTCCATGCTTGCTGTGGTATGGCGTGAGCAGGAGAGCAGAGTGGCAGCGGAAGCAGCGGGTGGATGACGATGCTGACAGCAATATGGTGCCTCCACGGAAAAAGGCACAAAACGATTGTTGCCTGTTGCTTTCACGGAGGGAGGGAGGGGTAGGCTGGCAGCAGACTGTGCTGCTGGCTGGGAGAGCTATCCCTCTACCAATATTCCAGGCAGGACTCTATTAGACAAAACTTAAAGAAGAGCATGACCTGAGTCACTCCCATTTATGTGCAGGTGCCCCTGACAGACTTTACCGAGGTCCGCCAGGAGCACCCATGTCCGCCCAGACGCCCCCGGCAGACCTCACCGAGATCTGCCAGGAGCACCCATGTCTGCCCAGGCGCCCCCACTGCCAGAGCACCCAGGAGACGACAAAGACAGCTACCAGATGTACTGCACTGTCTGCTGCCACAAGGCAATGAGCTGCTGCTGTGTAGCAATGCAGTCCCACATTTGACAGCACTCAGGAGACATATGGTGACGGTGAGCTGAGTGGGCTCCATATTTGCCGTAGTATGGCGTCTCCACGGGTAACCCATGAAAAAAGGCGCAGAAGGATCGTCTGCCGTTGCTTTCATGGAGGAAGGGAGGGAATGGGGGCCTGACAACATATACCCAGAACCACCCGCGACAATGTTTTTTGCCCCGTCAGGCATTGGGATCTCAACCCAGAATTCCAGTGGGCAGCGGAGACTGCGGGAACTGTGGGATAGCTACCCACAGTGCAATGCTCCGGAAGTCGACGCTAGCCTCGGTACTGTGGACGCACTCCGCCAACTTAATGGTCTTAATGGTTTTAAGTGGGGACACACACAACTGACTGAATAAAATCACTTTCTAAAAATTCGACTTCTATAAATTCGACCTAATTTCGTAGTGTAGATATACCCTTAGGAAAAGTAAAGTATTTGCAAAGATATTTCTGTTTTATAAACATGGTATTCACATATAACTTACCACTGAATTTAGGTGTCACTATTTTCTCTAACTTTCGCAATGTAAATAGATATACTCAGGCTCAGAAAACTAATTAAACTAACACCAGCAAAGACATTAATTCAGCCCTTTCCAGCTCTGTTCGTTTCATTGAGGTTTACATTTCAAAGCATGGAGCAAACTTTGCCTTTTTATGAACATTGCAAACATTACTAAGCATGGACAATCTACACACAAAACTTGCACCTTTTTCATCAAAATAGTTTTAAAGATTGTTTTAGCTAAACCATTGCAAATCTCTCCACGGGGACTTTTATGTCAGTTTATAAGAAGGTTATATCTGTTTAACTTAGTTTTGTGCCATTTTTGTGTATAGATATATTTAACTGGAGTTGAAGCACATTTTAAAAACATTGGGCTAAATTCAGATCTAAGTCAACGACTGCAACTTAAAGTTGTACCTATTTCCTGAGCTTAGCTCATTACCTTCATCTTCATCCTCTTCCTGGCTAATTTTCCCGTTATTCCAGGACAGTTAAAATGAGCTTGACATTCAAACTAGCAGCTGAGACAGCTCCTGCTCACACTAGCTTCTTGCAGCTGCTGTCTTGAGTGCTCTTGGTGGAGATCCCTTCATTCTGGAATTTGCTTCCAGCACTAGTCGGGTAGAGCCTGAATCTGGAGACCTTTAGGACACTGTGAAAAATTCATTTGTTTTTTGAAGAGCTTGTTTAAGGAGATGGTCTGTTTTTTGCGGGAAATGTCCTTATTTTTCTGGGAAAAAGGCAAAAAATATGTTTTTATATATGCTAACTATGATAGGATGCATTTTATAAATCTAAAAATCTGAATAAATACAAGTTTTTATTTTTTATCAATACATTTTATCTGTGAACTTTACTTTGAATGATGTTAGCATGGTTGCTTGAGATGTATATGGTTTCCCCAGACTGAATCTCCACATTACATGTAATGAAGGTATGTTATATATGCATGTTAGGGGTAATGAAACACTGGAAAACAGCTTCTGCATGAGGAGTAGATTCTATCGTTGCCATGCCATAAAAAAAATAAGGATTCCATGATTTGGTGCTCACTGAACATAATGGCTGCTAAACAGAGTCCTTTTGATGAAATAAAAATATAGAGTAATACCTTATTTAAATAATTGCCTAATTTTTTACTATTTATATTGACTACTGCCATTATTTTACATTGAAAAACCCAAACAAACTGGATATTTGCAAAATAGAAAACAAATCTAATGTATTGCAATTGGATAAGATAAATTAGTCTTGCGTGAATATTACCAAGGAATTTTGATAAACCATCTCACTTTTTTCTTCTCACTAGCTGTCAAGGCCTACCATTACATTTTCATGGAGTTTTCTTAGCTGCTTGTTATAGTGGAATTGTGCAAGTGCAAATCATCATTGAATGTGATAATTTTTGCTAATTATGCTGGTTTTAAAGTCATTAGATTAATGTGCTGCTTGTGTGTATAAATACTTTTTTACTTTCAACTTCAGATCACACTACAGAGCAGATTGGCTGTGCAGAAAACAAAATTATCAATATGTGTACAACCTCCTTTAGCGCTGACCCATGACCAGTTCATCTTTGATGATATAGGTAGATTCTTCTTTTACTGTTACAAAGTATTATAATGTATTGCTTTATCTGGAATTGTTTGAGCCTTATTCTAAGATTTACTTAGTGACCTCTAAGTAGACATGCACCAAGCTTAACTTTTGACATGATGATGATTATACTCTGTTTTAAAAAAAAGAAACGTGAGTGGCAGTCACAAAAACCCAACAGAATGTTAGATTGTGTGCAAAACCAGAAAGATAGAAAATAATGTTGAAAATAGTATACAATCATATAATGTAATGGTACATCCTAATTTGCAAGCCTGTGTCCAGTACTGGTCACTCTACCTCAAAAAATATGTGGTATTGTGGTTACTGTGCCAGTACAAAGAGCTTCTGCCGAGCAACAGGAGGGGAGAGAAGGTTCAGTTATTTGTACCCAGTCAGGCATAAGCTTCCTTCTCAGCACTGCCCACTCTGGCTTCCTTACAGCCTCTTTGAAATTCTGTCAGCTGCAGGCTGGATTGCTTTGAAAATTGCAGAGGGAGCTGCAGGCCCCAGAAAAGTGTCCTAGGGCCTGGATCTGGCTCGCGGACCATATGTTTGACAGCCCTGCCCTAAAGCATCTAACATTGGTCACTGCTGAGACAGGATAATGGAATTGATAGATCTTTGGTCTCTTCTGGAATGCCAATTCCTATGGTCCTACTGCATGTTCCCTAAGGAACAGAGGGCTGAGGGCCCTGATGCTATGACCTCAATATAGAATTGCATTTGTATTGAGTCTATCTTATATTTGCTGCACAGAGACATTTCACAGTTGCATTTTAAGAGCGTTTTGAATTGGAGCATCTTGTTTTGCTTTTAATAATATATATTGAAGAAAAAAATTATGTGCAGATTTGATTTGAATTAGTTCAATGGAAATGTATAATATAACTTAACCTAAAAATATTTCCTTAAATATTGGAAAATGTTAGGTTTTCTTTCACTTGGCCATATTTATTTAATGTACTTTGTTATTATTTGTAGAGTCATGTGGATCTAAAGCTGTAGCCCTGTCTGTCTTTCTGAAGGGGAATTGTCCACCAGCAGAGCTGGAAGGAGATGCTGTGGCTTCCTATAGCACACCCACAGGTGAGCAACATGAGATTTCAAAGAGTTTTTTTTTCTTTTTAAAGGTTTTGATTCCCTTATGGCCCTTCTTTCTTTCTTTTTAATTTCTTTAAAATATTTTAAAGTTAATAGTACTGTGCTGAAGAATTTGGTCTCCTTTGTTTTAGTTAATATTTTATATAGCACCATTAACTTGCCTGACCTGTTCACAGAGTTAACAATATACATTTACAACTTGGGGAACAGGCTTCCCATGTGCTGTCTCAGCAATTTGCTTCTATCCTGATCGGAGAGGGACCTCCTCTGGGTGTGAGAAGTTAATTACCTCTTTAGGACCATTCAGTCCTTGACCTCACTGCAGAGGCTGCCAACAAAAGTGACAATTACTCTCTCTGCACAGAGGAGGAGGATTAAATGGTTGCTGGGACTGATTATTCCCTCACCGTGTTTCCCTTTTACTCCTTGGAATAGCATTTGATTGATTTACTTGTTTAGAATAAATAAGAACAAAATGTGAATTGTTGCATTTTATAATGACCTAATCACCCCAGGCCATCCATAGTGACACAACAGGTCAGTTTGCTCTGACATCTATTGTCTTTGCACATCTTGCTGGCTAATCAGATGTCAAGGACAAGGAGCTAAGTTGAATGATCCATGTCATGTCAGGACTGTCTCATGTTTAACCACTACTACACACACTGTTTAATTCTCAGTCAGAACGTGTGTGTCTTAGAGAAAACTGGGTGACATTTTATACTACTGGTAAAAGTGAGTATGTGGAAATACATTGATTTATATCAGCTGAAGATTTGGCACCAAGTCTGCTTTCTCTTTTCCTCCTTCCCCACTGATTGCAGGAACAGAATGGAGGGCATTTCTCCCACAGGGAATCTTTGTTTCACGTGCTCGGTACTCCCCATACTACCATGTGTATGTCAGGCAGTATGGGAAGCAGCATTCCTATAATGAGTGTTTTTCTTCATCTCAGGAAGCCTAAGGACCATTGGATTCCACAAGAACCATAGCCCTCTTCAGAGGCTATGAGAAATACATCTACACAATACTAAAAAGTGTTGAGGACAACATCTTTTGTTTTCCTTAAGAAATTAAACATGATGTCATCCAAGGCATTCTTCTGGCAGGCCTGGGATTTACTTTCTGAAGGACCTGAGTCTGCAAAACATTTTTGCTAGTGAACGATTGATTAGCTATGGGATTTCCCTTCTTTGATGGGCTATTAGACCCTGAGTTAGCAAAGCATAATATATTGGTTAAGCATTAATTTGAGAATGGATCATCACTGGAGAAGATTTTCCTGTGATGGGTTGGGACAGTTCAAGGAGACATGCTGTGTTTGTGCTACCTATTTTGGCAGTTAGAAGTGCAGTTTTATTTGTAAATCTGACTATAAAAATAGCTCATTGTAACACAGATCTGTCCTCTCCAGGCTAGATTAACTGGGTGTGCAGAGGGTAGAGAGCAAAGGATGCCGCCCCATGCTCCAGATCATCTGTGCAAGCAGCAGACACAGTTCCAATTTCTGCGCTCTAGGGATGTCAGAGATTGATGGCTTCTAGTGACTGAGCATGCAGTACCTTCCTAAGAGCTCTGTCTGGGGCCATGTGGACATGTCTGCGGATAACCTTTAGCACAGAGCTATATGTAAATTGCACAGTCTGGTCTTGGGTTTCTTGAATCATACCCCCTGATTTTAGTGATGTGCATTTTTACTGCTTTTTGCTCTATTAGCCCTGCAGAGCCAATATAACAAAGAGAGAATGAGCTGAATAGTTATTTCTTTGCATTATGTAATGAATTATTTACTTTTTAAATAGTTAATAACAATGAAAGAAAAAATACCAGGTTGACTTTCAGATATTGAGCTTGTAGGCCTTGCAGTTAGGAAACAAATACTTGTAATCTAAGAGTATATTTGACCTGAGATCTTTGAAATACAGTAATCATAGAACACTATTTAGCTATTTCATACAGAATCACTTTAGAATAGGACCACACTTGAACATGTTGTGTTTAATTGTGGAATTTGCCCAGCACAAGGAGCATAAAATAATTAAATAAAATAAATGATTTAATGGTTCAGAAGTTCTGTTGCATCTTAGGCTTGGCTAGTTCAATAGAATTGTATACAAACACACTATCCCTGTTGGAGTTTGTAGAATCAAGTCCTCAGATAGCACTTAGGTCCATGAAAAAATATTCTTTCATTGTCTCACTATATCTGAATAGGAACCTTTCATTGGAATGGATTTTTGTTTGTCTGAATCAGGGGTTGGCAACCTTTCAGAAGTGGTGTGCCGAGTCTTCATTTATTCACTCTAATTTAAGGTTTCGTGTGCCAGTAATATGTTTTCACATTTTTAGGTCTTTTTCTATAAGTCTATAATATATAACTAAACTATTGTTGTATGTAAAGTAAATACGGTTTTTAAAATGTTTAAGAAGCTTCATTTAAAATTAAATAAAAATGTAGAGCCCCCCCCTGCCCCCCCCGACTGGTGGCCGGGACCTGGGCAGTATGAGTGCCACTGAAAATCAGCTCACGTGCCGCCTTTGCATGCGTGCCGTAGGTTGCCTACCCCTAGTCTAAATGATCCAGCATTGTGGGTCAAATTTATGGTTGGTGTAAGTCTGTGGAATTCAATACAGTTGAATTTAATTTGTTTTTACTGAGTTGGATGGAGTTACACGAAGGATGAATCTGGCCTTTCCTGATTATTTTTGGTTAGAGTTATGTCTTATATATTTAGACACACTAAAAAAAACCCACTTATTGGATTTTGCCTTTAACAAGCTACATTTATTTTTTCTAAACTGTTAATTATTACTTCTCTTCTTTGTTTCCTCTTAAAATAATATCTTACATATTCTTGCTTTTTTTCTCCCTTCTTCCTGTCGCTGATTATGCGGTAGATCTCAATCCTGAAGGTGAGTGAAAGAAAAGATATTAAAACTGGACAAAGTGTTATAACTGACAGCTGATTATCAATGAAGCAGATTTGGAAGTGAACTGTGAATATAAGGAGGTGACTCTTACAAGCTTTTATATCCTCCTTGGAACAATGTGCTGGCTTGGCACTGCTCTAGGGATGACTGCTGGGAATTATGGGAGAGATTGAGGCTTAGACGTAAGGGGAGAGTTATCCATAGGAAAAGTAGAATGCACCAATGATGATTTTTTAATTGACTTATTATACATTTACACCTGAATAACATTGGAATCTATAATATTAAAGTGTTTTATTCTATCTTGAGGACAGTGATGGCAAATACAGTAAGCAATCATAATATAATTGTATCTTTAGCCACCTTTCACCTTACAGTGCTATCTATTGCTCATCACCTTCAGCTGAATTTAAGCATTATTTCATTTAACCTTTCTTATTGTGAAAAAGCCTTCAGGATTTGAACTCGTGCCATGTTATCTGTGCAGAGAGTGAAACAGTAGCTCTGAGTGGTGTGAATTGCCTCCATTCATCCCAGTTCTTCTTAGAACTGTCTTATGGAAGTCTGAAAGTTGATTTCTAGATGATTAAAAATACTAGCACAAATGTCGTTCAAAATGTAGCCATGATTATGACAGGTATCATGGCTTCAAGTGGTGCCCAGCTATGAAAATGACAATACACAGGAGGATAAAAGAGGGATAGAAAGGTAGCTAGCATCTAGGTAGGCTGAAAAAGAACAGTTCTTGAATTTTGTAGGCTCCCTGTTGTCTGGATATGTTTAAAGCATATATTAAGTCCCTGTGGGATATGCATTTATTTTGCTTATTTTATAAGAAATTTATTGGTTGTAAATTCCCCATTCACCCAAAAAAGTAAGAGAAACCCCAGTTTCTGGGAAGGAAGGAAGTCTCCAGCTGTTCGACTTTCCATTCGAGATAGGGTTGCTTAATGGGCATATGTTTGAAGTCTTCTCCTTCTCAGCCTCTCTTTCATTACCCATCCATTTTTGAGCAGTCTGGGAGAGGTAGAGCTGAAGCTGCTGCAACTAGTGAGTAGGTAAATGAGACTGCTAGTGGCTGCCTTCCTTCTCTCTCTCTTTTGCTCCTGGTTTTGCTGAAGCAATAGAAGCACTCCAAGAAGTAGAGCGGCTCCAGCCCGGGGAACAGGCTGACGTGCTATGCAACCACAATTCAGCCACTGCAACACTCCCTACAAACCAGGAGGAGTAGCTGCAATGAAAATACTGGTTCATTTCCATCTGTTCTGGAGAGTGAGGTCAGCTACATGGGACCCAGGATGGAGAGTAGAAGCAGGAGTATTTCAAACCATCACTGCTGCTAAGAATAGTTCTGCCTTACTGCATAGATGTGTTTATTTTAAATGTAATTTGATAGGATCAGACATCGCTTAGAAATGAAGAACCAGATCCTGCAACCTTTACTCACATGGGTAGTTTTTACTCAAGCCAATATTTCCCTCAGTTCAAGCATGAGTAAGATTGCAGAATTTTACCTGAGGATGTATTTATGGTAGGATTTTATTTGGGCTACTACAATGAGTACTGCAGTAGTTAAATTCAGCTCAGTCAGTAACAGAAAGGTCATAAATTCTTTGAATATTTAACATCCTGAACGCAGACTCAGCTATTTCTTCCACCACACAAGGTCTTTTTATAAAGGTATAATTAAGATTAATGCATTTACTTATATCTTACATGCACACAGTGTATCATATTTCAAACAAATAGTGTTTATATGATCTGCTCTGGTTACATTACCAATGAGCAATTCTGCTTTAATACACGGGGAAAAAATTGTTATAGTATATGTTTTGTTATCCATTATTACTGTGTTAAAGTTACATGACATGTGCAAAGTATAACATAACAGTAGATGAGGATGACACAAGGCCTATTACCAGACATAATAGAAAGGGATCAAGGCAGTTCTGGCGATCAGAGTTTGGTGCTCCCATCTAAAATTACTCTAGCACGCCCAAAGAAGTGTTCTGGAAGAATTCTCCAATATAAATTTTATACTCTAGTTATATATTTTTTTAGCAGCTTTTGGCTCTGCTTCCCTTTGATTCAGTGAGTTTTGGACTCTGTCTGTATATGCCAGAGATAATTGAGATTTTTTGTTTCAGAAAGTAAAGTTCTGTCATGTTTAGTTTTGATTTACATTTCCTTTGCACGTGTTGAAAAAATATTATTTATGATGAGGCAAACTGAGAACTGGAGATCCAAGAGTAATTGGCATGATACTAGAAAAAAATAAACTTGCTTTCAATATGAAAGTATTTCAAAATCTTTGTGGCAAATTCTGTTAAGTATTTCTTGTTGGCAACCCTCTGAAATGTTTCAAGATTTAATATCAAGACTTTTGTATTATGTCATTATTGAGAGAAACAAAAAGATTTTTCGCTAATTTTTCTAGTAGATTGTGGAGAGATCTGTAAGAAAGTTATGTGAAGTTGGTTCAAGTCAGCATTTTGAAAATTTACAAGTTGATTGAGAAGCAAGTGTCCTGAAACCCTGGAATGTCCCAGTTTTTAAGGCTTGTCTCTGTGTCCCTGACAGTTTTTATGTAAACAAGTTTTATTGTGATTTTTATAAAGTGCTGGAGGCACTACCAGCCAGCGGCTCTAGTAAAGTTAACAGGCCAGCTGAATGCATGTGTGTCTGTTACTTGGCCTTGATACCTAACCCGATTTTCAAAGCCTACTAGTGACCTTGCCTCTGCACAAGTCCATGAAGCAGCCCTTCCTTGCATGTAGAAGCAAATCATTGGTAGCAAGAAAAAGAGGTGAGATGGAGGGGGATTGTTTGGCTGAGGAGAGGAAGGTTGAGCTCCTTTTTCTTTTATTACCTTCCAAGCATGCTTCCCTGATGACTATCATAAATGTCACTTTCTTGCCTTCACATCTTTTCTGTTCCCACCCCAGCCATGAAAGGGGTCTTAGTTTATTCCCTCTGAAAATCTGGTCATGCTAAACGTTTAGGCTAAATTAAGACCTGACCAACTAATTGTCTGGTATGGGTTTTGGAGATCAGGGGACTTCAAGAGAGAATGGGTGATGTTACTGTGAAGCTGATACTGGTATCAGTATGGTAGACCTTTTTGCATACACAGGCTTTCCCCACATGAAAAAACAAAGATTCCCCTGATGGATGTTTTGGCAAAGGAAAGTGGCAGCTGCCTGCTCATTAGACCAAGAGCTTCCCATTTTATAGCTTCTAGGACTTCCATCATATATTATATATTCTATTCTATTGTAGCTAAGATCAAGTGTTATATTTCAGACTTGTTGCCAATTTCAAAAGCATTGAGTCTTGGTTTACATTTGTGCATATTCTTGACAATTTCTGATTTGCATTTGAAAATAAATTAAAAAATCATATCTATTAAGAAAAATGTGTATTACTGTTATGTAGTATAATTTTTCTTCCATTGTCGCGGAGTCCCAATAATGCCAAATGTAATTTTTCAGCAGTATGTTTCTAGTCAAAGATTTTAGCCAGTTCTGTCCATCTCTGCTTCTTTACTATGTTACCAAATGAAAGATAAACTTTAATATGCATTTGAATAATAACTCAGTATTGAAGCTGAATAAAAAGTGACTTGCCAGTTTCTTCAGTGCCACCATTCATTTAATGAATGGTTACCAACAGGAACTCAGTGTTAATTGAATGTCAATTTTAATTAAAATTCAATAGCTTCCATTGTTGTTTGCAGTGTTGTTGTAGCTGTGTTGGTCCCAGGATATTATAGAGACATAGTGGGTTAGGTAATATCTTTTACTGGACTAACTTCTGTTGACGAAAGAGACAAACTTTCAAGCTACAAAGAGCTACACAGGCAACCAATCTTCTTCATGCTTCCCAACATATACAAACAATGGCTGCCTCTGTGAGTCATTAAAGCATGTAAGGACATGTGATATACTCATGTGACTCAGGACTCCATCTTAGGCCAATAACTTTCCACAGACAGAGACTGTGGACTTCGTTTGAGTAAAATCCATACATATGGCAGAGGATATGAAAAGGGACAGCTCCATTTTGTCTTCATTTCTCCAGACTGGTTTTCTAATAAGGAAGCTCTAAACAAGGACTGATGACCCCCCCAATCTGTTTGCGTGATTCCAGATTATCACTGCTACAAACCTGATATTAGGACTTGGCAATCACTTGTGTATACATGATCTGTTAACCATTTATAACTCTCTTCTTAGTTTCCTTAATTAATAAACCTTTAGTTTTTACTTACTAAGGGATTGGCATCAGCATGATTATTGGGGAAAATCTGAATTACATATTTACCTGGCTACGTGGCTAGTCTCTTAGGATTGGAAGGACCCTCTAACTGATTAAATTGGTTTTCAGTAACCACTCATCATAAAGTCTAGTGTCTGGGTGGTGAACCAAAGCTTGGAATGCCTAAGCAGGCTGTATTTTTGATGTCTTGCTAACCAAAAATGTGGTAATCCAGAAGTTCACTTTTGTTACTGGCTTGGTATAATCTAATGATAGAATAACCACCAGTTTGGGTGTGAATCTACCCCATTTCTCAGCAGTCTGTCCTGAATTTGGCATCCTCAGCTGTGACCCACTGAGGCACGGTGACACCTATACTCTGATCTCTGTCATAATGATGGCATCACTGCCTGCCTCAAATATCTACAAGATAATGGACAATACTCAGATATCCACCCAAAGCATATTGCCAAACTCACCCATTTCATCCTCACCCATAACAATTGTACATTCCATAACAAACACTTTGCCCAAATCATGGGAACAGTCGTGGGTACTAGAATGGCTCCCCATATGCCAAACTCTACCTGGGCCACATTGAAGAAGAATTTCTGGACAAATGCACCACAAAACTAATGATATAACTGAGCTATATCAATGATATTTTCATCCTCTGGACAGATGACCCAGAGTACCTCATAGATTTCCACTAGAAGTTCACCAAG